AAATATAAAAAATAAATTGAGTTATAGGAATACAACACAAAAATTAAATAATAAGCCACAGTTTCATGCAACAACCTGGACAAATCTCACAGACACGGTGTTAAAAGAAGGAGGCCAGAGAGAAAAGATTATTCTATGCAAAACTGATGTATGCTGATGGAAGGTAAAATGATGGTAACCTACTGGGGGAGGGTACTTGAACTGCCTGGTGAGGTACTGGAAATATTCTAAATCTTCTGCAGGGTAGTGAATGAACACACACACACACACACACACACACACCCCTATGTAAAAATTAATGTTTGTACATTTACTGTATAAATTTATAATTTAATAACAGAAGTGAAATAGATTTATCTTTATCTCAAAAATATAAACACAAGCTGTATAACCTAGAAACTAATGAAATTTTTTTACTTCTGAGGTGAATGAGAACAAAGTGGAGTGGATAGAGGAGGAGAAGGAATTTTCTTGACTATTTTTTCATGTAGTGTGGACATTTGAATCATGTTAATGGCTTAAATATTTTAAAAAGGAAATGATATGAGGATTGTTTAAGAATTCATGGATGGTACAACATTAGAAAATCCGCCAATGTAATACACCTCATCAACAGAACAAAGGAAAAGGACCACATGATCATCTCTATGGATGCAGAAAAGCATTTGATAAAATCCAACACCCTTTCTTTATGAAAACCCTCACAAAATTGGAATAGAAAGGAAGTTCTTCAAAATGATTAAGGGCATATATAAAAAACCAAAAGGCAAAATTACACTTAGTGGAGAAAGACTGAGAGCTTTCCCCTTAAAATTGGGCTGTTCAATATTGTGTTAGAAGTCCTAGCCAGAACATTAAGACAAGAAAAAGAATTCAGAAGTACCCAAATCTGAAAAGAAGTAAAATTATCTCTATTCACATATTCTAAATATAGAAAATCACAAAGAATCTACAAGAAAACTTTTAGAACTAATAAAAAAATTTAGTGCAGTTACAGGGTACAAATTCAATAAAAACAAGCAATGAGAAATCTGAAAGGGAATTTATAAAAATGATTCCTTTTACAATAGCTTCTAAGAAAATAAAATACTTAGGAATAAATTTAACCAGGAATGTATAAAACTTATACAATAAAGATTGTAGAATACTGCTAAAAGAAACTAAATACTTAAATAAATGGAAAGATGTTTCAACTTTACGGATTGGAAAAATTCATACTGTTAAGATGTCAATACTATCCATAATGTTCCATAGATTAAACACAATTCCAATAAAAATTCCAACAACTTTCTTTACTGTAATAGAAAAAAAACAAATCTCAACTTTATATGGAATGACAAGAGGTCCTGAATAGTTAAAGCAATGCTGAAGGAGAAAAATAAAGTAAGAGGACTCACACTTTCTGATTTTAAAATATTTATATTGTTGTTGTTGTTGTTATGTGCCATTGAGTCGCTCCCGACTCATAGCAACCCCTCCTTGGGCTTCTGAGGCAGTATCACTATGGAATTAGATTGCCCAACCTTCCTTCTGAGGAGTGGCTGGTGGGTTTGAACCGCTAGCCTTCTGGTTAGCCGCCAAGTGCCTTAGGCACTACACTACCAGAGGTCCTCTAAAAACATTTATACAGTACAGTAATTAAACAGACTGGTCCTGGTATAGTAATAGATATTAGACTGATGGAATAGAATTGAGAGTCCAGAAATAAACCTATACATCTATGGTCAAGTGATTTTGGGCAAAGGTGCTAGTCAATAGACAAAGAAGAGTCTCTTCAATAAATGGTGCTGAGGAAACTGGATTTCAACACACAGATAAATGAGACAGGATTCATGCCTCATACCATACACAAAAACAAATTCAAAATGGATTAAGGACTGACCTATATTTGAAAACTAAAACCATAAAATTCTTAGAAAAGCAAGCAAGGGTGAGGCCATCAGGTCTAGCTTTTAACAATGGATTATCTAATATAATAGGCGCTCTAGTGGCCTAGTGCATAAGGCGTTTGACTGCTAACCAGAAGGCTAGAGGTTCAAACCCACCACCCACTCCTTGGAAGGAAGACTGGGCAATCTACTTCCATAGAAATATTGTTATTGTTGTTATGAGCTGGGGAGTCGGACCCAACTCATAGTGACCCATCTTTGGGTTACCAAGGCAGTATCACTATGGAAGTAGATTGACCCACCTTCCTTCTGAGGAGTGGGTGGTGGGTTTGAAACACCTGCCTTCTGGTTAGCAGTCAAGTGCCTTAGGCACTATTCTACTGCCTCAGAAACCTAAGGAGGGGTTGCTATGAGTCAGATTTGACTCGATGGCAGTGAGTTTTTGTTTATCTAATATAGTAACAAAAGCACAAACAGCCAAAGACAAAATAAATCAATGGCACAACATAAAAATTAAACAAAACAAAACAACTTTTATTCATCAAAAAACTACTGAAAAAGTGAAAAGATACATTATAGACTGGGAGAGTATCTTCAAAAACTGTATGTTGTTGTTGTTGTTGTTATATGCCGTGGATCGGACCCAACTCATAGTGACCCCTCCTTGGGTTTCCGAGGCAGTATCACTGCGGAAGTAGATTGCCTCATCTTATATCTGATAAGAATTTAATAATTAAAATACATATAGAACTTTGACAGCTTAACAATAAAAAGACAAATAACCCAATCAAAGAATGGGCAATGGACTTGAATAGACATTTCACCAAAGAGGACATTCAAATGGATACCAAACACATGAAAAGATGCTCAACATCTTAGCCATCAGAAAGATGCAACTCAAAAGCACAATGGGATACCATTACACTTCTACTAGGATGGCTAAGATAAAAAATACTAGAAAATAGCAAATGTTGGCAAGCATGTGGGGAAATTATTACCCTTTTCCATTGCTGGTGGGAATGCAAAATGGTATAGCCACTGTGGAAAATAGTGTAGTGGTTCCTTAAAAACTAAAAATAGAATTACCACATGACACAGCAATTCTGCTGCTAGGAATATACTCACAGGGCTTGAAAGCAGCTATGTGAAAAGCCATGTATGCCAATGTGCATTGTAGCATTATTCACAATAGCCAAAAAGTGGAAACAACTTAAATTCCCATCAATGGAAAAATGGATAAATAAAATGTGGTACATATATACAATGGTATACTACTCAGCCAGAAAGAAAAATGAAGTCTTGATACATGCTACAAAATACAGGGAGCTTGAAAACATTTTGGTGAGTGAAATAAATCAATCACAGTAAGACAAATATTATATGACCTCGCATACATAATAAGACGAGTTCAGACAAATGTATACAGAGCAAAGTTTATTGTGGTTACCAGAGTGGGGAGGGAGGGAAAAAGGAGGAGTGATCACTTTTGGAGACATTATTCTATCTACTTCATTTTGAATACAAAGAAACTAGTACCAAAGAGACTAATGGTTGTTGTTGTTGTTATGTGCCGTTGAGTTGGATGTCATATACAAGTTAGCGGCAGAGATAGGATTACAACCCTGGTTTCTGAGGCCTTGGGAATAGTCTCAGAGTAGCCGCAACTGCTGTTGTGATTAAGTGGATATTTGCCTTGGGTTCTTAAGGATATTCTCAACTTCCTTCAGTTTTCTGGTGAAAGTCCTGGGAATAGTAACTGAATGGGAACAGTAACACTCTGAGCCCCTGTCAGATTTTTGCCTCCTTTGCTGGCCTAACACCAAGCCAGTCTACTTGAAATAGAATAACCAGGAAACATCTTTTATAAGAAATGACACATACACTTTTTACTCTTTACCTCCTGTGGTTTGAATTCTGTCTTAGTTACCTAGGGCTGCCATAACAGAAATATCATAAGTGGATAGTTTTAAAGAATAAAAATTTATTTTCTCACAGTTTAGGAGGCTAGAAGTCCAAATCAAATTCTTAAATGTGTCACTTCCTTCTGTGGGCCTCTCACCTAAAGTGTGGTGTCTGCTGGTAGTAATCCTTGCATTCTTTTACTTGAGATGAGTCCCCACATGGCATCTGTTTTCCATTTTTGTGTGCTTCTGTGTCTATTCTGCTCTTTTTATAACTCAGAAATGATTAGGTTTAGGACTCACCCTACTCTGGCATGACCTATGAACAACAAAAGAAAATCCCTATTTCCAAACAGGATTATATCCATAGATACAGAAGGAGGACGTCATTTTTTTTTTTTTTTTGGTCAAAATTCAGTCCAAAAGAGATTATTTTATTTTTCATTATTTGAAACAAAAGTCAGTCCCAACTCATAGTGAGCCCTCCTTGGCTTTGCAAGGCAGTATCTCTAGGGAAGTATATTGCCCGATCTTCCTTCTGAGGAATGGCTGGTGGGTTTGAACTGCCAGCCTTCTGTTTAACAGTTGAATGCCTTAGGCACTACACAACCAGAGCTCCCATAAACAAGATAGACCAAAAAAAAAAAAGAAGGAAATTTTCTTGTTGGGACTTTTTCTCCCTCCCTACCTTTGATGTTTCTTTGGGAGACAAGGAGCTCTGTTTTCCCCATTACAATTAAGCATAAGAATAGGAAGTGCTTGTGGCAGTGTTTTAAATGAATGTTTAGAAGACTCCGGTCATTTTGCCATAGATTTATTCCTTAATTTGTAAAATTTCTTTCTCTTTCAGCATTGCTCAAAGAATGGGTGGCCAGTCATCAACTTTTTTTCCCCCTCCTTGAGATTCTCTAACCATAACTTGGGTAATTTCCCTTTGTGTCTGCCTGAGGCTTGTCTTGGCTATTTCTTAACCTAATCCTTATCCTCTCATCTATTTATGGCAATGGCCATCACTAAGTTAGAAACTTCCTGACTTCTCTTTTTCATTTCCATTCTGACCCTAGAGATTAAGGGAGGTCATTGTCACATCATCACTGGTCAGCCAATCAGGCACACACCTCCCTTTGATGACCTCCCTGCTCTATAAGCATTGGCAGGCAGCTTCAATGGAAGGAGGGAGACAAGAAGGAGGCCTGGTATATTCCCAAATATGATCATTACAACATGGATTGTGTACGTTCTTGCCCGCAAAGGTGTAGGGTTTCCCTTCCCACCAAAAACCAGTTCGGTAAGTGAAGTCAGTGGTAGCCATGTAGAATTCTCACATATCTTCCTCCTTCGCAACTGCTGCTGTATATCCAGAGAGATCTTATAATATTAAACTCTGGATTAAAACGCAGAGAGGGGGAACTGGGATTCTAGGTATTCTGTGAGCATCACTTTCCCAATTTGTTCCAGGATATTGAAGTTGTGGAAAGTGAAGCTGTGTCTGTGGTACAGCACTGGTTGAAAAAAGTGAGTAAGATCCTCTATGATTCAGAGTAGCCAAAATTCTAGAGCTGGCTTTAATGGATGCAGAGGTCTGGAATTGGGAACTTAAGTTCATTGCTCACCTGATATTAAACTTTGCTAATCCATCTATCCAGGAGCTCTGGTAGCATAGTGGCTAAGACACTTGCCTGTTAACCAGACGGCTGGCGGTTCAAACCCACCAGCCACTCCTCGGAAGGAAGGTTGGGCAATCCTACTTCCGTAGTGATACTGCCTCGGAAACCCAAGGAG